AGCATCCATCACCTGATGACCCAGTGTGCTTACTGGCCACTCTGTTAAATAAATAATTATCAATAAATTACACCCAGTGTTGGGTGAGGAGGATATGATTTTGCATTTTTATCACTAGGACCTATATATAGCTACAGATCCTAGTGAGAAAAATGCAAAAGCTGAATAGGAGGGGGGAGGAGGCCAGTGGTTCTCCCCAAATGTGACTGGCAAACTTGTGGTAAATTCAAATTGGCAATGTGGTGCAAGCAAGACGCAAATACCCAGATAACTAAAAACAAATTACATGCACAAAAACTTAATAAACTAATCCCAAGCTATTTAACCCGATAACCCAATGGGCCAATAAGCAGCCTCATGAGTTTAATTAAATAATAACATTTATTAATTAACAAAGCAAGCGCCAATCCCCACATGACCCAAGGCACTTACTGGTTGATTTAATTATTTATGATTAATAAAATAATAACGCAAGCACCTATCCCCACACAACCAGGGGCACTTACTGGTTGCTTTAATTATTTATGATTAGTAAAATAATACCGCAAGCGCCTATCCCCACACAACCAGGGGTACTTACTGGTCGCTTACTTAAATTACTATAAATGAAATAATAATTGAAGCACCTAACCCCACAGCACTAGGGGTGGTTACTGGTCACTATAATTATTTAAAATCAATTGAATAATGCAAGCCTCTCGAGTCATGTGGGGATTAGCGTTCACATTAATTTTTTTATTGTTAACAATCATAGCAACCAGTAGGCGCCCCGGGTCCTGTGGAAATAGGCGCTTGCATCATAATTTTATCCATAGTAAATTAAGTAAGCGACCAGTAAGCTTCCCCGGTTGTGTGGGGATAGATGCTTGCGTTATTATTTTATTTATAGTTATTTAAGTAAGCGACCAGTAAGTGCCCCTGGTTGTGTGGGGATAGGTGCTTGCGGTATTATTTTATTTGTAGTAATTTCAGTAAGCGACCAGTAGGCCACCTTGGTTTTGTGTGTATAGGCGCTTGCGGTATTATTTTATTAATCATAAATAATTAAAGCAACCAGAAAGCACCCCTGGTTGTGTGAGGGTAGGCGCTTGCGGTATTATTTTATTAATCATAAATAATTAAAGCAACCAGTAAGTGCTTCGGGTCGTGTGGGGATTGGCGCTTGCTTTGTTAATTAATAAATGTTATTATTTAATCAAACTTATGAGGCTGCTTATTGGCCCATTGGGTTATTGGGTTAAATAGCTTGGGATTAGTTTATTAAGTTATTGTGCATGTAATTTGTTTCGAGTTATCTGGGTATTTGCGTCTTGCTTGCACCACATTGCCAATTTGAATTTCCCACAAGTTTGCCAGTCACATTTGGGGAGAACCACTGGCCTCCTCCCCCCTCCTATTCAGCTTTTGCATTTTTCTCACTAGGATCTGTAGCTATATATAGGTCCTAGTGATAAAAATGCAAAATCATACCCTCCTCACCCAACACTGGTCGGCATCAAACTTTTGACCATCGTGGCCAACGCTGATTGTCAGTAGAATTCCATCGTTATAAGTTTGGAGATTAAGTTGTCAACTCTTACAAAATGCGTGGAGTGAGTAGAGTCGCGTTGTAAGGTCTCTACGCATTTTGTAAGAGTTGCCAACTTTATCTCTAATCCTATGACGATGTAATTCTACTGACAATACAAACACTGCATCTACACCTTCTTGCTTCGTGACCCAGGCTCAAGTCATAACAAGAGCTCGTATAGGCCATAGCCACCAAGGGGCTTCAACGGGTCGGCGACATTGTGCCCCAAACTAGATTGGTGCTTTTTTGCCATCAGGTTGGCTCAAGCAGACTTTGAGAACGAGTGTACACTAAACACTTACATAGATAGAGTACATATAAAAATGGTACGATTTTCTCAAACAGCCAAGAGACAGCGCTGCTGATCCCAATTCCTTACAAAAGTCCGTAAGTCGCGCGCGAGAAGTATCTGACTTATTGTATATGAGTGTCTTGTTAGTCTTGAACCGCGTACGCAGATTGCGGATGCAGCAACAGCTGGACAGTCCTCGCACGCGGAGCACCCACTTTAGAGCAGTATCAGAGATTAGGCAGTATCGTACCGCGCATACGCAGATTGCGGATGCAGCAACAGTGGGAGAGTCCGCGCACGTGGAACTCAATACCTATGTAGATACCTTATACCGCGTTCGCGGATTGCGGATTACACCTCTCTTGAAAAAAACCATAACGGTTAACCACATAAGAAAACCATATATAAAAACTATAAAGAATCATATGGTTTTTCTACTCCGTTTTCATGTGGTTTTTTGTCTCGATTCACCATGTAATTTAACAATGAAAACGATATGGTTTTCACATGCTTTTCTTTCAATAAAAAAATATTTCTACTTAAGTTTAGGTATTTTGGAATCTTAAAGACGCATCAACAATGATTATACAAATAAAACAAAAGAAAAAAAAACTCCTATATGGTGGCTTGAACCTTGATTAACAAATTCTTAGCCATGTATCTTATCCACTGGCCCAGAGTAGACTTCATCCTAGCTTGCAATTTTTAATCCTTATAGGTACAGAAGGCATAGTATTCTATTATTCGTATTTGTGCATAATTGGTTCTTTAATATATAATCTACATTAGAACCGTGTGTATTATTTACATGCAATAAATTTAATATTGTTACTAATATGTGTTAAGATATATATTTGGTTTCAAGATAAAATTGACCAGAGTAGACTTGATGCTGACATAGAATTTTTCGTCTTTATGAGCTACAGAAGGTATAACATTATTTTATTGGTATTTGTACACACTACTATTAATTTCAAGAATTTTTATTTATAATAGTGACGTACCATATTGTACAATATTTTCAAACAACAGGACTTAAGCCGCAGTCACATGAAGCGCAATAGAGCGAGCAGGACAGGCATAGAGGTATAAGAATAGAGCACGCAATTGGGCGATTTGCGCGTGATCAGCTAAGAGAAAGAAGACTGCATAAGAGGAATTCTATCTCTCTCTGACCGTCTGCTCTACCTTGAGAGCAGAAGAAAGAGCATAGAGGTATAATAATATTATTTTAATAATATTATTATTATACCTCTATGAGAGAGAGTCGACCAATCACAGCCATAGAGGTATAAGAGTAGAGGGGAAAAGCGCTATACTAGCCCATTAGCGGCAGCGACAGCATAAATAAGTGTAACGGGGCATCTGTCCTTGTTGCCAAAGCCACGTTATTGGCAACTTCTTCGCAGTGTTGGGTAAGGAAGATATGATTTTGCATGTTTATCACTAGGACCTATATATAGCTACAGATCCTAGTGAGAAAAATGCAAAAGCTGAATAGGAGGGGGGAGGAGGCCAGTGGTTCTCCCCAAATGTGACTGGCAAACTTGTGGTAAATTCAAATTGGCAATGTGGTGCAAGCAAGACGCAAATACCCAGATAACTAAAAACAAATTACATGCACAAAAACTTAATAAACTAATCCCAAGCTATTTAACCCGATAACCCAATGGGCCAATAAGCAGCCTCATGAGTTTAATTAAATAATAACATTTATTAATTAACAAAGCAAGCGCCAATCCCCACATGACCCAAGGCACTTACTGGTTGATTTAATTATTTATGATTAATAAAATAATAACGCAAGCACCTATCCCCACNCTCCTGACCTCCCGGACACTATTTATTTATTTCCATCACAAATATCTCGCTAAAATGGTCCTTTATCCACAATTTTTAATACAGCATATTACAGAGGAAGACTTCATCTACAAAACGTATATATTCAGTCTGCTGAGACATTTAATTTAGGTTTATTATAAACGAAAACAAATTGTTTTTCACGCTGCCCCATAGGAACACGTGCTAATAGTTACAACTTTGAGCTCGGATTTCTCAAAACTTTGACCCATTCGAAATATAATTTAGACCACCATTAAATTCAGTAGACTTTTATTTACAAGAAATAATATCTCTGTTTGGGGACTTTCGTGAAGGAGCCCCCTTAAGTAGAAACATTTTTTTTCTAAAAAAAAAGCATGTGAAAACCATATGGTTTCCATTGTTATATTACATGGTGAATCGAGACAAAAAACCACATGAAAACGGAGTAGAAAAACCATATGATTCTTTATGGTTTTTATATATGGTTTTCTTATGTGGTTAACCGTTGTGGTTTTTTTCAAGAGAGGAACCACTGGCTTTCTCTCTACTCCTATTCAGCTTTTATATTTTTCTCTCTAGGATCTATAGCTATATGTGTATAGGTCCTAGTGACAAAAATACCAACTCAATCCGCCTCACTAAACACTAAATCAGCTCCGTACATAAGAACGAGCAGTCCACTTTTCATATGTCTATGATGCAGGAAAGAATTGTCCCTGTAAGCGGCTGTGTTAAGTCTATAGCGCTGCAGGATGGCCCTATTGCGCTGCGCAATTGTCTTACCACAGTCGCTTACGGGGACCATTCTATCCTGCACGCTCTATTACGCTATTGGGCAGAATAGACCGACGCATTAGAACGAGCAGCATAGAAACAGCCAATGAATGCTATTGCGCTGTTTTCTATTTCGCTGCATCAGGGGGCTTATCTCCGGACCTTTGGTTCTGGAACCAACTCTCGTGAACGCGTATTTTTTCATGTTTTTTGGTCCCAGAACCGACCGAACCGAACCGAACCGAAATGCCCCAAGGTGGGCTTGAACAAACCTTATGTATCCTGCTCGCTCTATTGCGCTCCATCAGCTCCATGTAAACACAAGCGGCCCGAAGATAAGCCCCCTGATCCCTGATGCAACGAAATAGAAAGCAGCGCAATAGCATTCATTGGCTGTTTCTATGCTGCTCGTTCTATTGCGTCGGTCTATTCTGCCTTATGTGACTGCAGCTTAAGTCATTTCTGATTTCTGCAGGTGGCCACGAGGGCGGCAGCACAGAGCACAGGTGGTTAAACACAGCGGATACTGAAGGTAAGAAGAAAAAGAACGAAGCAATGAATTTCGTGATTGAGGTACTCTTCTTAAGTTCAAGCTTTCAAATTAAGGGAATAATTACTTTTAACATTTAAATTAAGATTACAGAAAATATACTCTAGCAAGCTATGAAGTATTCCATACTATTACCAACGTATAATGAAATGGACAATATACCTATCATGATTTGGCTTCTCGTCAAGCACATGAATGAATTGTACGTAGAATCTTTTAATATTGTGTTAGTGTTTCGATCATTCTACAGTGATTCATCGTAATCGTATTATTAATTAAATATTTCTTGTAGACAAGTCTTGTATGAAATCATTATTATTGATGATGGTTCTCCAGATGGCACTCTGCACATGGCAAAACAACTTCAGAATTTGTATGGCAGTGATAAAATTGTTTTAAGACCAAGAAATAAGAAATTAGGCCTCGGTACAGCATATAAGCATGGTATTCTACATGCTACAGGTGAATTCATTGTAATTATGGATGCTGACCTGTCTCATCATGTAAGTTTTTTTACTGATATCGGGATTGAAAATTTTATAGGCATACAAACCTATGGTTCTGTGTTAAGAATGATTGAATTATGCAATAACCCTTTTTTTTAGCCTAAATTCATCTCTGAAATGATTAGGAAACAAAAGGAGTGCAATTATGATATAGTCACAGGGACACGATATATTCAAAACGGAGGAGTTCATGGGTGGGATTTTAAGCGAAAATTCATCAGCCGAGGAGCTAATTTCATATCTCAATTATTACTGAGACCAAATGTGACAGATCTTACTGGAAGTTTTAGGTACAGGCTCAGTATATGCTCTCAACATATTTTTTCATGATTATTGGTTTGGTTTATCATCATAAATCTTGAGAAGAAAACTATTAAAACTAAAATTAATTCGAGGTAACGTAGGAGTGAATGACTTAATCGCTGTGAACTGAAATTTTCGACTACCAAATTGTTAATTGTTTATTTCTCTACAATTTTTTT